CAAGGTAAATAAATAAATGTGTATGTGGGGGCAGAAATACACAGCAATGGATGGAGGGATGGAAGACTCCATGTTGGAGAAGAGGAGGTCCTGGGTTTATTTACACACATCTGAAATGCCTTTGGAGGTTAATAAGAGATGACATGTGGCCCAAGTGGATGGCCGCAGAGCAAATGTGAAAACAGAGATGGACAGAGGTCCTCCTGGTTACACAAGGAGGCTGACATCTTTCCTTGGCTGCCCTGGTCCCATCCAGGTCGGCTTATCCAGTATCAGCTTCCCTAGGCTGCTCTGTTTAAAAGGAACCACACCAAAATGAGGGTGCTGGTACCCACAAAGTTTCCTTCTGACACAACTTCATTTCCCCTTGAAACATAAACCTGCCAATGATGCCTTCCTCCCCAGACACACAGTGAGCCATTTTCGAAGATGGAGTTGGCTCAGCTCCATGTCCGTGATCTCGTGTAGTCCTCTCCACGGTCCCTGTGAAGTCAGTGTTGTCACTATCTCCATTTTACAGAGGAGAAGACTGAGCTGATGAAGGTTAAGAGGCTTGTCCAAGGCACTGTGATGGCAAACCCAGCTGCGCTTCCCTCCAGAGCCCTTCCCTACTGAGTCACATTGCCCAGCCCAGCCCAGCCCGGGACTGCCTGCTGGCCTCTCCACCGAATCCTCCTCCTGCATGGAGGCCTTTGTAGCCTTCTCTTGCTTGAAGCCTGGGATCCTAGATGGGGCAGGAGCTGCTCCTTCCTACAGCGTAATCCCCTCATCTGCTCCAAGTCAAACCCCAGCAACACATGAGGGACTTCAAGGAGGGAAACTAAGGAAATCGCTTCTCACAGCTATGGCTTCAGCCAAAGTGGAAGGGAGCTATTAAAGGCAGTGACAGGGTTTGGCTGTTTGCAGCCATGCAACCTGCCGTGCCTGCAAATGTACAACTGCACTGCCTTGGCACTCATCAACTGCACAATTCATTGTGCACCTAATTAATGGAAGGCAGAATCACAGCCCCCTGCAATCCCATGCATCAAAGGATGATACCAACACACTTCCCCTTGCACAGATCTAAAGACTCACACCATATGACTTCATTTGGATTTTTGGACAAGTTATGTAATTGTTCTGGGCTTCAACACCACTGATGGATGGCAATGCTTTAAACCATAGCCAAAAGCAACTGGGTGAAGGCAAAGGACTTTAGTCCTGAAAAAATACAAGAGTCCCTATCCTGCAGTCACATCGGCCAGCTCATGCAACGTTTGGTGACGCTGTGTCCCGAAAAAGGACTCTAACATACCCACCCATAATGAGAGCCAAGAAGATTTCAGGAGGATACTGAATGGGGATCTACCTTCTCAGACGGATGGACGGCCTGTCTGCCAGGTGCTTTATGACATAACTTCCCCGTCTATCCCTGGTCTGTCTACCTGTCTCATTCCACGATCTTCTGGACTCTTGGGGGGAGGGGGGAGGGTCAAAGCTTCTTGACTAGCACCTTTTTCAAAGGAAAAGTCTGGAGATTTTTCCGTTCTTCCAAAGGCCAGGGCATGAGAGGACGTCTCAGGCAGGCTCACAGTCACTGTTGGTTTCCTTTCTCCCCAGAGTCACAGCTGATCGGTCCTTTACTAATGTCCCCACAGATCTGATTGCTGCAGATACTAATAACACTGTCCATATTCGGAGTGCCAATGCCAATAATGTTCTGGGTATTATCTCTGTGAACACCAATAACTACTGCTGAGATTGTCTCCAATAATGCCAGCACACGCCGCAGCCATTGTCCTCGCTAATGCCCACCACCGTGACATTGTTAGAGCTAAAGAATAAGCCGCACTGTACCCATAGGCAGGAGCAGGAGTGGCTTCTTTGAGGACAGAGACACTCACAGCTGGCCCCTGGGCTATGACACTGCCAGGGAGATGCCCCCCATGTGTGGGGCCAAAATCAAGCTGGCCTGGCAGGGGGCACAGGGCCCTCCAGTAGGAGACCTGCCCCTCCACTCCCTCAAGGTCTAGTGCCTTGATGTGCACCCTTGTTCCCATCCCAGCCCCGCTCAGGTCCCTGGGACAGCTCTCTCTTTCGCCTGCAGTGCCGTCGGCCCGGGAGCTGAAGGACACACCTGGGTGTCTATGCAGCCCATGCCCGAGGCTGCCTCCTGCGCCCGGCCTGCCAGCCGCTGTGCTACCTTGGCCTGACTGCAGAGTTGGGCTACATCATCTTGACACTTAATTATCTCCCCTGTTCTTAATCATCTGAGCTGCTTCCTAATGCAAACTGGGCCTGGCTGCTTGGAGGTGCCCTGAGTTGGGGGAGGGGGCAGGCTGTGGAGGGTCTGTCTTTCCTGTCCTCTCCCTTCACACCTGGTCCGATGGATCAAGTGCATGGATCATGTGTGGGGTGTGTGTGTGTGTGTGTATGTGTGTGTTTTGGCACAGGGTGGTCAGGGAGAACGGGCTTTCCTCATAGGCTCTGGCCTCCACAAGGGAATGGACAGCTCCATCTGGCCTGGGGTTGGTCAGAAGGAGGGGTGAGTCAAGGCAAAAGAACCTCCCCCCTCCCCAAAAGAGAAGCAGGGTCTCTGATCCTTCTTGCCACTGAGATAGGCCTCGGGGTAAGTATTTATGCAGTAAGAGTAAATTTAGAGATTGACATTACCTCTCACCTAGAATTCAACTGCTTCCTGAGGTATCTCCCCACTGCCATCGCTACCACCATGCTGGAGGAGGGCCTCCCCAAACCCAGCCCTGCTCTTGTGCCCTTTCTGATCAGACACTTTTGGTGGCTTCTCATGTCTGCAGGCAAAAGTCCCGTCTTGGCCGGCTCTCCTAGACTCATAACCCCTCCACTTAGCCCTACCTCCATGACTTCCCCTCAGGCCCTTTCATCCCAGCCAAAGCACCCCTGTTTTTTCCACACAGTACCTTCTGGCCACAAGGCCCAGTCTGTCCCATAGAATTTCAACTACTATTGTCTTTGAACCATGCCCCTCGTCCATCCCTCAGGCCCCTCCTCAGAGAGCAGCCCTTTCTGGGGGTTCACTCCTTCCTCTCTCTGAGTTCCTACGGCCTGCAGCCCAGACCTCCATCACAACACAGATGGGCCTTTCTGCTCTCTGGGCTCATGTGTTTTATACGCCCCACTAGACTATAAGCTCCCTAAGGACAAGAATCATATCTTGTTCTGCTCTGGGAACCTAGAGCACCAAGCCTTTCTTATGAGTGATGCCCAGAAAAGGTTCACTGAATTGAATTGACTTGAAACAATGAATCTGATCAATTGCTCATAGAGGAGGGCACTCTGTTCTGCCGACCTGCAGTGGCCACAGCCTCAGGCCAGTGTTTCTCTATCTCTAGCCCCCTTCCTTGACCTACAGGAGTCCAGGAAGCAGTGGACATGCTTGACCCCAACTTCAGACCAGTGGGGAGGAGTCCAAAGGGGGTCCTGTGGCCTCCCCCAGCCCCCTGGTTGTTTCACAAGTGCTAGGGGTTTAAAGGAGAAATCCTCAGGGTCTGAGGCAGAATCTTCCAGATTACTCAGGGTGCTGGGGAGCTTGGCAAAGGCCCGAGTATGGGGAACCCCCAGGGAGAACTGAGATGCAGGCCCTTTCACACAGCCACCCCCTGCCCATCAGTGGCTATTGCCAAAACAACCACAATGAAATTTAGTGAGTGGCAAAGGCCGTGGCAGCCAAATGTGTTTGGATATTTTGGAAGAAGGAGAAATAGAGCCAGACAAGCTGTTTTCCTGTGAAACGAGGCCATTAGGGCTTCTGGAAGGAGGCCAGACCTAGGTCATCACTGTCTTGCCAGACCCAGGCCTCTCCTACACACTGTCCCTTTCTGCTGGAGTCTCGGGCTCTCACACTCTCTTTTCCCCTAGCCTGGGCCTAGGGGATCTCAGCTTTGTCTCCTTTCTCTGTTCCTCACCCTCTAGAGCTGTCCCAATCAAGGGCTTGTCTATGCTTGGGATGACCGCAAGATTTATTGTCCAAATAGGACATTTTTGAGAGAAAAAGGAGATGCTGACTGGCCAAGATGCAGAGACAAAGGCATAAATTGGGACTGTCTGGACGAATGGGATATATGGTCCCCCACCTATATTCACATTTAGAGGGTTCTATTTCATGGGAGATACCCTTAAAAGTACACCTTCTCTAGACCAGGAAGTTACTGCCTCCCCAGCAGGGATGGTAAGATCAGGGCAGGAAGCAGGCTCCAGACACTGGTGTCTCCCTTTGTCTGGGCCTGCCAGCCCTGTGCCCTGGCCTCATGCATCAAAAGAGAACCAGATGGTCACCAAGGGACCCTTAATGTCACAACATTTGAAAAACACTTTCTCCCAAGCTCATCACCACCACTCTCTCCTCTGATTTTCTTTCCCTGTTTCTCCTCCTCTTCATCCCTCTCACTCCATAACTCCCTGCCCAACAGCTAGCTACCCCCAAAGGATTATAGGGAATGAGGGGAAGGGCCAGAGAGGAGCCTTGGGGGTGTCTTCTCCCACAGCAAAGAGCAGAGAGGGCCCATGCCCAGCTCCCCTAGTGGTTTGAATCGGCACAGGGTCAACATGTTACAGAGAAAGGGCAGTAGGGTCAGCTGCACGTGACATCACTCCCCCATTTCCTGATGGGTTGAGATCAGGGGAGGACAAGTCAGCTTAGCTTTTCATCCCCAGGTCAGAAACCAGCTGTCCCCTAACCTCCAAAACCTTCCCATGGTCCATGGTCCCTGCTTTTCCTCCTGGCATCCCACAGGGATGTTTGGGGTGAATCCCAGCGGAAGGTGAAGCAGTCGGGGCTGCTGAGCAGATGGTGAGGCTGACGGCCCCACCAGCAGCCTGCCTCCCTCTCTCGAGGAGCCAGCAGGGTAGTGGAGGGACCTGGGCTTCGCTACTAAAAGTGATCTCACAGCAGAGCAGCTGTGAAGCCGGGCCGAAACCGGAGCTCTGAGTCCAAGGACAAAGCATCACAGCGGAAGCCAAGCCTCTTCCCTCCTCCCTACCTTCATCACGTTTCCTCTTCTCGCCGTTGGAGCGAGGGATCCCCAGGATCCCATTGATGGAGTAGGATCCCACTGGATCATTGGAGGCGCTGGAAACAGGAGGGGAGGCCGTACTGGGAACTGGACGGGAGGAAGGAAGAAATACCATCAGGATAGTGGTTGTGGTCGAAGGCCAAAGCCCCAAGGCTGGGGGCAGAGAGAGGGGGAGGGAATGAATGGGGATGGGGAGCCCATAGTCTCCTTTCTCTGAGATTTAAGGGGGAACAAGTTGCTGCATACAATTCAGGCTCTTCACTGCTGTCCACCCTGGGCTTAGTGGGGACCAGTCAACCCAGGCCTTCTCTGCAGACCTGAAGATTTCACTCACTCACTGTAGGTTGAACCAACTCTTGAGGATGAATGGAAACAGCAAAGCAGACTCAACCTAGAAAGTGGTTCAGGGGTCCTGAGAGAGCACAACTCCTTCTTGCATAGCCCCTTCTTGCACAGCTCTTCCCCAGATCCCTGGGGCTGGGCAAATTCCTTTAAACAAGTCCCAGCCCATTGTTTCTAGTCTTCTAGGCAAAGTCCTTCCCAGTCCTGATTTAGAGTCTGTGGCTTTCTAAGATCTCTCTGCTTCTCTTAGAGACACATGAATGGGCCTGATATTCCCCAGAGGTATGAAGCTCTTCACTCCCACCTGTTGCTTCTGGTTTTGAAATCACCTGAGAAGTTCCTAATTTCCCCTTCAGGGCACAGAGTAGTGAACACTTTCACTCTGCAGTGATCAACTCAGGTACAGGTCGATCCAGCCCTCCCCCCAGCACACGCTGTAACCCAGGTCTAGCAAACAGGGCTCCTGCCAACTCCCGGAGGGCTGGGACCAGCCCTTTCTACTTTCTGCTGGTCCAGAGATAGGGCACAGCTGCCAAGAGGGACAGCAGGAGAAGTTTAACCACATCCCAGTCCCTCGAGATCTCACCTATGGCTTCAGCAGCACTGAGCGCCCTTGGGTCAAAGGGAAGACAGTGTGTGGGAGGGAGGGAGGCAGGTGTTGGCAGGTGTTCTGGTAGGACTGGTCATGTCTGTGCAAGGCTGTGAGCAAGGGTCAATAAATGAGGGGGCTGGAGAGGGGCAGAGAGTTATGGCAGATGAGAGAAAGAGATAAAGACATCAAGAGAGATGAACTGAGAGGAGAGAAGCCATGAGGAGGGAGGGAGACAGACAGAGGAAGAGGTAAGGGCCACCTGGACAGAGAGGAGAGGAAAGGGAAAGGCAGAAGGGGAAGGAAGAGGAGAGAAGGCAGAGGAGGAGAGAGGAGAGGAGAAGAATCTTAAAAATTAACAAAGCAAAAATGGAGTAAGTAAGTAGATATGAAAGAGAGAAGGATAGAGAACAAGACATGGAGCAGGAGGAGAATGGGAAAGAGAAGGAAAGTTAGAGGAAAAGGAGGGAGAGAGACAGATGCACAGACTGATAAAGGCAAGAAGATGTGGGCAGGAGGCAGAGCACAGTCCTTGTAAGCTGGTCTCTCAGGCAGATCCTGCACCTCTAGGAACCCAGGGAGAGCGCAGGCCTTGGACCTCAGACAGTGTGCATTCCCCAGGGCTAGAGCTGCACTGCCCAGCTCTCAGGGGGCCCAGCATCCCCCATTCCCTAAGTCCTCTTACCAATGGTGTGGCCAGGGGCAGTCACTCCAGTCCCGGCTCCATCTGGCGTTGGGTGGAAAGGCTGCTGAACTTTGGTCCGGATGATCCTGCAACAGCATCACCAACAGCATCACATGTCACATGCCCTTTGATGCCCTGGCCACCTCCAGCCAAGCCCTACAGAGGCGGCTCCCCCAAGCTCCCTAGCTCCATCCTCCCTCAGCTGCTCTCTGCGCCCCTGCCCTCCCTGACTGCTGCAAGGCAGGAGCTTGCTCTGCAGATCCAAGTTCAGCGCATCCCTGGGCGGAGGCAGTCTGCATTCTGTCCTGCTGTGCATCGACCAGATTGCCGTTTGATGTCTGGTAGCAAAGATCTGGTAGCAAAGATCAGGGTAGAGGAACGAGCAGACCACAGCATCCTTCCCTTTTCTGGGAGCAGGGGCTGGCCTGGTGACTCGCTGCCCACCCTTCCCTTCTGGAGATCATTTTGGAGCTGGCTTTCCTATTGGGACTGTATCTCAGTCCTCCAGAGTCAGGGAGGGGTGAGATCTCCCCATTTCCTGAGCTAAAGACAGAGTCAGGGAAGGGCTGGGTCACAGTAACCCTTTCATCTCCAGGATTCCAGTACAGCACACAGTCCCTCTGTCAGGCCCTGAGCGACTCCTTGAACCACTTAGTGCTTTCACACCCTGCAAAGCCCTGTTGCTGCCCAGCTCGCTGGCACGCTGGCCTCCTTCCCAGAGGCCTTACTTGAATCTCAGCTTCTTTACCAGACTGGGTGAAAAGACTGGTGCCTTCCCCATGCACTCTAGGTGAGGGTGGGGGAGAGGGCTCCAGATCAAACATTGCAGGGCTGAGGACTGTCAGTGATCCAAGGGCCCAGGGCTCAGGGATGCAAAAGAGCAACCCTAGGGCCAGCACCGAGGAACATTTCCCTCTACCCACTGGTCCATCAGGTGCCCATGGAAGCCACTTTCCCGAAGGCAAGGCCCCCTCCCCGCAGAGAGGTGTGTGAGCCAAGTTCATCTCAACCGGCCAGGTGAGTCACAAGCTGTGCATGGACTGGAACACTCGCAGGTGGCTGAGATAAGGTCTCTGCCTCCTAGGACTGGTAATGGAGGGAGGTCACACCCTGAGAAACCGAAGTCACCCCGAGGGAGGGAGCAGGCAGTAAGTACCGGGAAGATGCAGGAGAGGAGTCACCTGCCTTGTGTGGGGCAGAGGAAGGGGAATGGGAAAAAAGTCATTGAGGAGGTGGAATTTGGAATTTGATGTAGAGCCTCCAAGCAGTGTAAGGCTGAATACACACACACACACACACACGAGCCAAAGGCACGGAGGATAGCAGAAAAGTCACTGGGTCGCATGTCTAAAGTCTTGATTCTGCCATTAATTGGCCACATAGACTTGGCCTCATCATTCTCCTTCCAGGCCTCAGTTTCTTCAGTTATAAATAAAGAGGATAGATGACAGGCTCTTTAAGGTCTCTTTCCCCAGTAAAAAGTAGCATGCTCTTAACATGAACAAAGAAGCAGGAGAGAGGAGGTTATAAGCTGGAGGAGGGTGAAAGAAAAGCAAGGGAGGGAGCACAGGGTGAGGGGGTAATGCCTATCCAGGAATGCTGGAGGGATGTAAGGGACTAAGAGGCAATAAGGCTGAAAAGCTGGAAGTAATGATGATACTAGTGATTTTTCTATTTACTGAGTGTCTACTATGTGCCCTTATTACTGTACATATAAAATTTTTAATTCTCATAGCAATCTTTAAAGCAATACTATTATCCTCATTTTTCAGACTTAAAGTCAAAATTCAAAGAGGTTAAGGAGCTTACTGAAGATTACACTGTCAGCTAGGGCAGAGGTAGAATTCAGTCTCTAAAATGTGTATTTTTCATTACGTTGTCAGACTTCCCCCAGTATATAGGAACCAGGTTTACAGAGTCTTAAGCCATGAGTGATTTCTAAACTAAAGGAGACAGGTACAAACCAATGCAGGTAAAGCAACAGACAGGCACAAGGCCGTAAGGGGCTGGTCTCAGACAAGAGAAGGAAGGGGGTGGGGAAGGGAATTCCCTGGTGGTCCAGTGGTTAGGACTCAGTGCTTCCACTGCTGAGGGCTCGGGTTCAATCCCTGGTCAAGAAACTAAGATCCCACAAGCCACTCAGGGTGCCCCTCTCCCCAAAAAATGAGACAGAGAGAAGGAAGAATTTTCAAGACATAGTGAAGGCAAAATGGCCAGGATTTGGCAACTAACTGGAGTCAACCTTGACTCCACTAGTCTGTGGCTCTAAAACCACAGTGGTGTGTAGCTGGAAGGCTGATGGTTTGTCCAGCTCTCAGGAAGAGGAACACAGCATGTTGACTGGCTGGTCCTTGACACGCATCATTTGAGGAGGCAGATGAGTGCCCAGGTGGAAGATTGTTCACCAGCCAGCACAGCAGATGCAGATTTAGGAGACTGTCAAAGAAGGGTGTGTTGGTTGGGATGAGAGGCCTAAGGAGGAGACCCTGGAGGACATCTAACAAAGGCTAAGAAAAAGAACCTGACCTTGCACAGTGCTCAGAATTGGTCGTATAGGAAATGGCAGAACCAGGATCAGATAGTGTTAGCCAAGTCAGCAGAGAAGAACATTTCCAGAAGGAGAACATAACCCACAGCATCCATGATGACACCATCCATGGTGACATAAAGTTTGAAGGGAACTGGAAATAAGAATAGGCACAGATTTGGGAATTTTGGATGACCACTAATGACCTTGTGAGAGTGGTCTCAACAAAGCAACGGAGGCAGAAGCCAGACAGAAAGAGGTTAGGGAGTGGACAGGAGAAGAGGGAGGCAGTGAAACAGATCATTGCTTCAGAAGTTTGTAGAAAAGGAGAGAGATGTGTGGAAGCTGAAGAAGGCAGGTAAGTGGAGGGAAGCCTGTTCAGGGCAGGAAGGACCTGGACATGTTTGTAGGCCAAGGAGAAAGAACTGATGAAGAAGGAGAGGTTGAAGTTGCTGGAGAGAATGTGGATGACCACAGACAAGGTAGAAGAAGGAGAGAACAGAATGGGGGGCACAGGGAGGAGGCAGCAAGAAAAGGCATGTGGTGATGTGGCCCAGAGTTTCTGGGTTTGGAGCATGATCACGATGGGAAAGACCGACAATCGCTAAGGGCACTGTAGTCTGGTCTACAGGAGAAGTCTAAAGGCTGAGCAACTCAGAGCAGCTGCTCCTAATTCACTGCAGCAAAAAGTTTCTGGGGTCTCAGGGGGCTGGTGAGTGGCTCTGATTTGAGGGCTGATGAGCTCTGGACAGAGGGAGCCCCCACACTGAGGCTGGGTGAGACAGACAACTGGGTGGCCTCATGCAGCTGCTGTCTTTGTTACCCAGAGCCTCTGACCCCTGGGGCACTGGTACAGATTTAGCTGAGGCAGCAAGTGATGGAAAATCACTACTTCCTGACAGCAGCTTGGTGGGGCACAGGAGAGGTGCTGGGCAGGATGCCTGCTGTGACTTACTAATGCTCTTGGTGTCTATCCATGCCCCCCAGGCAGTGGACACTCACCAGTCCCCAAAGCTGAATCTCAGAATTTAAGAACCAGGACTGTGGAAACCCAATGGCCATCCATCGCCCTCCTGCATCCCATACATAACCCAGTGACTCATGGGAATATCTCTAAGGGTTAAATGGATAAAGAGGTTGCTTTGTGTGACTGCCTGACACTATTTCCCTCTGTTTCTCCTCCTGTTCCTTCAATTCTTTTTCATTCTTGGCCCCATAAGACAGTCAAACACATCTGTAGCACCCACAGCTCCAGGCGGAGTTGACCTGAAAAGTCAAGTTCCCACACATGCATCCTTAGAGGATACAGTCAGGAGCCCTGAGCACATTTACTGGGGGCCGGGAGGTGCCATTTCCTGTTTCCACAGAAAGCCTGCCCTGCCAGGGTACCTGCTCTCCACTTCTCCTCCAGGCACACTTTCCTTGACAGGTGTGTTCTTTCTCCCCCACCTTCCAGGGAACCTCCTGGACTTTGCCTTGGCTTAGCACAGGGCCTGCAAGTACCCAGCATCTCACACTCATGAGGCTGTGAGCAAAGCAAAGGGGAGTAGAGGGTGGGCTCCGGGCTCAGTCTGCCTGAGCCTGAGTCCCAGTTCTGTTACTTATTGTCCGTGGAATGAATCCCTGGTGTTTCTTATTCTCTCATCTGTAAAACAAGATAATACTATCTACCTCATAGGACTGCTGTGGGGGTTAAATAGGATAATTCATGTAAAATGATTAGTGTGATGCTAGGCTCAATAAATGCTAACTATAACTGTAACTACTACTACTATTATTTCTGTGGGTGACCCCCAAGCCAGGCTGCTCTCTATGGAGGGGCAGGGGCTAAACCAGGTGTAGGCGAGGAGGCCACTCAGGCCCATCTGCCCCAGCCTGGTCAACGCAGCTGCTTCCAGGACCCCGGGAGGTGCTCTGAGAAGACAGGAAACAGGAGCAGCAGGTGTCAAGCCTGACCCAACAAGAGACGCATCAGAGACTCTTGGGAAGACAGACTGGGGGCCCTGCCTGGCAGCACTGGGAAGGGGCCATTGACAGTAGGAGCAGCAGTTCCCTCAGGACCCACAGATGCCAGGGGGTTGTGGTAGAGCTTTGGAGTAAAGGAGGACAAGGCAGGTGAAGTCACTCCCTCTTTGGTTAAATTCCCAGGAGTTCTCCACTCCCGGCCATGCTGGAGATCCAGAGTCTCATGAGGGGGAACTTCCCTGGTGGTCCAATGATTAGGACTCTGTGCTTCCACTGTTGGGAGCATGGGTTCAATCCCTGGTTGGGGAACTAAGATCCTGCATACCCTGCAGTTACGGCCTAAATAAACAAACAAATTTAAAACAAAACCAAACCAAATAAAAAAAACTCCAATCTCAACTGCTCTATGAGTTAGCATGAAATCAGGTAATGAGGCTCCCATTAACAGTTTGTTAAACTCATGAAGAAAGAAAGACACTCTCAACTCTAAGAAAGCACTAGGGGGGATTCTTCACTCCTGATTTTCTTCCTCCTCCTTCCTCTGCATTTCATTCTCTCTCTCCCCTTCCTGTCTATCTCTGCCCCTTCTCTGTC